TAAAACGTTTTGATGTTCTAGCAATCATTTTGACTTTTGCACAAAATTATTTTGATTATTGAACAAAAATTATTTTCAGATCTCGATTCAGCAAAATTGTTCTTTCCGTGTGTAATTAAATAAAATTCAACTTGATAAAAGCTATTACATGCTTAATAGCACAGGAAAACTTCATCCGTCATTTACTTCCGTATAACGATTAAACTTCGAAATCCGGATGATGGCTAATTAATATTCGGTAATCGCCGCAGAATTCGGTGGGATTTAATCAGATTTTCCTCTGCTGATCTATATATGCGGGATATATGATATGTGCGTAAGAATGTCAGTTCGGTTCGCATCGGCGCTTCCGTTTTCTTGCTCCGTGTAAACGAGGGCAATGGAAGAACACAAGGATATGGGCCGGGGGTGCGAACCCCCCGGGACGGTTTGTCCCAGCAGGACTCCCACGGGAGAGCCGCGGCGGTTCCTGGGGCACGGAGGCGGGGCCGCACATCTGTCGAATCTCCCGGGAGATATCCCGCAGAAGACGACGCGCGGGGACGCGCGCGTATTACACGGAACGCCGACGCCTCCGTCGACGTCGTTACGTTCGCGCGTTACTACATCGCATGTGCTCGATTCTCCGGCTAGATTACACCCCAAACTTTCGCCACATGGACAGTTAAAGGGAGTGGCGCCGGCAAAAATTCTCCGGAGAGAACGAAGCGCTTTTAATGACGTTAAATTATCTCGCGAGGGCGTATATATCGGTATAAAAATACAAGTTGACTTGTTGACAGAATTGTATATAGCTCGCCTCTCTGAAGATATTTGTAAGTATAATGCGTACCGAAGAGAAACTAAATCCAATATTATATGCTTCTTTAAAAAAAGGTTTCAGAAAAAATATGAGAAGAAGAAACATCGAATATTTATATGCTTTCTTAAAAAAAAAAAAGCTATTTCAGGAACAAAAACAGAAATGAACGACGATTGACATTCGATAGAAAAAGGGATTTTTAACATAGATAAATTTTCCAGAGAAATCAGTTGAGTCTCAAAATAAACAGTAGATCCTTCGAGCCTGAACGAAATTCCTGTCGGCACCCCCCCTCCCTCTGCGCCTAAACGAAACCTCGTTAGCGTTCGTGCGCAGCCGTAAACTGCGACATGGGACCGCCGCCGACTCTGTGCACACACTTAGCGGGTGCACTTGCAACAAGCACCGAGAGGGTAGGAGCTTGTGTATACACGATGTGTACGCGAAACACATGGGGACATGCACGCGGCGGCATCGTTGGCGGCCCCAGCGGGGCCGTGTCGAGGATACAACGCGGAAAGAGAGAGAGAGAGAGAGAGAGAGAGAGAACGTCCGTTCTGCGACCCCCCGGGGGGTCGCAGAAACACATCAAAATCGAATTCACCAGATGTCCAGGCCGGCACCGAGGCGCGCCACCCTTCTCTTTCCCTTTTCCTCGGATCCACCCGAGGATCTCGCACCCGCTAACGACGTTCGGGGCGACGTCGGTCGCAGATGCGTTTACGACCGGCGATTTGGGGAAGGAAAAGGATTCGACTCGCCACCTGAGCTCGTCCGCCCGCCCTTCGGCGTCGGGCAGCTTTCCCGTTGAGAAAAAGAAGAGGAAAGAAAGACGCAGACCAAGGTAACTGAAAAGTCGATGTCTATATAGCTGTGATAGCAATTAATTTAATTATTAGAGCGATTAAACTATAAACGACTAACTTACTTTGATGATTAGAAAATTCGATAAATGATAATTTTTCAGTTAAAAATGTAAATTGTTTTAAGAAAATTGTTATTGTAAAATATTTTTCAGTTTTCTCCTTCTTTCTCTCTTTAAATTATTTTAAACATGTAATAAATGATTTCCTAAAAAAATTAATATATCTAAATCTTTCGAAAATGTATTTTTTAAAGCATTTTTATGAAAGAGCAAAGATTTAAAAAATAAAATTCAATTAACACTTGAATTCAACTGTCAATTCGATAATAAAGTCTTTGTTATCGTGATAAGAGAGAGGACAGAGAAAAAGTATAGAAATTAAATTAAAAAAAATATATATATATATATATAAATCACGACGTGTAAAATAAGAAATGCTGGAATGGAAATGCCGTGTTTAATGAAATTTCAGCGGAATTTCAGCGATGGATTTGCAAGCGCCGGGATGTACGTGGCGTCGTTGTTGTAATTCTGTTACGTCATCATATGCGGCGTGCGTGTACCTGCTTTTCGCTTTGAATTTTTTCGTCCACGTCATTCCGGTATTTAGCCGGATTGCCTTTTGAATAAGTCCAACGCGCTTTTTGACGCGCGAAAAAAGCGTGCGCTGTGCTGCGAACCGGCCGACGCAACGTACAGGTACACACACGGACACGCACGCACACACAATTAGCGTAGCGTAACGTAATGTACCAGAGAGCGTAATGTGGCACAGTTGATTGGCGGCATATAAACTGACGACAACTGCACGCGAAAGCTGCGCCCAAAAGCGTATATGCAAATATATATCGCAAGAAACGCCGACACAATTTATAAACTGCCTGCACGCCGCTCTCTCGAATACGCGGGGAAAAATTGATTTCGGTTTAAAACGAGGCGAAGTCGCTCGTGCGCGCGCGCACGAGCGAGCGTTGCAGCTTCTCGAATCTCATTCGCGATTGTTAATCTCTCCTCCGCGCTGCACGACGGCGCGGATTTCATCCTTTCAAACGAGCGAGTCATCGTCGCCACCTGATACCCACGATCACTCCGCCGCGTGTGACAACTAATAATTTTCTTCGTCCCCGCTGAAGGAGCGATCTGACGCCCGCGGTGCTACCACAGTGCGCCAGGTATATGATAAACTGTCTTCTCGGCGACTTTCCCGCGCGACGGCGGCTCTCCCGATACGCGTGTCGAATCCGCGGCGCGAGATACCGGCGTCGCGGCTCGTTAAAAGAAACGAACGCTACTTCGAAATCGTCGTGACGACAGTGACACCGCCGAATGACATCTGTCTCTCGGCATTAATAAACCGGAGGAAATCGAAGAGCGCCGGTGACGCGCGCGCGCCAGTGGGAAGGAAAAAAAAACGTAAATGGTCACTTACCTCGCATTAACTTCCGTCGTTCAGGCGGCGTTTCTTGCGGCCGTCTATACCGTTATCTACGACTGATCGCTGTTACACACGGATCACGGTTTCCTAATTAGCATAAAACGAAGGATCCGTCGCGCCAATGATGTCTCGCCGATCTAGAACGATCGATTGCGAGATCAGATTAAGCGCTATTAATGCGACAGGCTCTAAACAGAGAGAAGATCAGGCCCATTAGATTTTATGAACATACACGGAAAGAACGGTTTTGTTGAAAGATCTAAAAATTTTTATGTTAAAAACAGATCTGAAAATAATTTTTTATTAAATCATCAAAATAATTTGTTGGGATGTTAAAACTGATGAGCATTGCTACAAAACGTTTTGATAGTTTAGCAATTACTTTGACTTTCGCACAAAATTATTTTGATTATTGAACAAAAATTATTTTCAGATCTGAATTTAGCAAAAGTGTTCTTTCCATGTATGAATTTTAAGGACCAGTTTCGTCGAGTGCTCGAAAAAAAACAATGTCTGCATCACAATTAGTATTTTAATTTAATTCCTTAAGTGTCGTGATTCGTTTTCGTGATTCACGATATCCGGATGGTCTGTTTTATTGCTAAACAAATGAGGAATCATGTTGTATAAGTAATCTATCAGATTCGTTCGTCTAAATAATTCTCCTACGTCGCTCGCTCGACCGAAGGAAAACCGTCGCGGAAAGAAGGAAATGAAATGCACAGCTCCGCATACGGAAATACGAGGTGGTTTATTATAATAGTATTTATAATCGTTATGCGTCGCGGCGGCGCATCTCTTTCTCGATCTGCCTTACTCTCGAGATGTTGTTGTTGCGTCACAATACATATACATATATATTTTGCTTCCGGTTAGCGTTCGTGGAGTAAGTCCGGCCGTCTCGCGCAAATCGGGCACGCGCGCATTTTTCAGCAAAGAGAGAGAATAGAGTGTGTTCTTTTTTTTCCTGCGTGTACCTCGTGTGTATTTACATCGATCTCGCCGCTCTCTTAACAGATACAAATTACACGTTTTCCTATTTATATTTATACTTTAATGATAATATTAGTACAACGCGTGTCTCCTGCAAGTGTGTATCCGTGTATCTGTATCGCGTATGCGCGTGTGTGACGTTGGCGTGTAGGTACTTGTGTCTCCGTATGTGTGTACGTATGTAAATGTCTAGCGACCGGTGTGTACGCGTGTCTTTATCAGGTGTACAACAGCAGATATCTACAGGGTGTCTCCAAAGTAACTCTCCTCGAGAGAAGAAAAATAATAATCAACAGGGAGGGGTACAATATTACACGATAGGGACGTCGTCGAATTTTTTATACACAATAATAATAATAATAATCAATAATTAATAATATTAATAATAATAATAATAATGAAAATAGTAACGTCGGCGTCGCGGCGCCGAGGTGCGTATAATCAATAGCGATAATAAAGCGCCGACCGTGCGTCGACGACGCAAACCGAGGCGTGAATCGAGGCGCGCGGACAAACGCTCTCCGTATCTTACAATAAAGGACGAGCCTTACTACGAGCCGATAGCTTCTCATCGGCGACTCGATCGCGATCGCAAATGCGAAACGGAAAGAAATGGAAGGAGGACGAGGACGAAAAAAGAAACGGAAAAGCCGGGGGGGATTGGGAAGGGAAAGCGACGATGCCACCGAGCCTTTCCGAGCCGCCCTCCGGACTGAAGAAGTCGCCGCAGCCGCAGCCGCAGGCAGCCGTCGTCGTCGTCGTCGTCGTCGTCGTCGTCGTCGTCGCCGTCGCCGTCGCCGCTCATCGCTCCTCGCGCTCTCGGCGGCGCGGAGATCCCGTCTTTCTTTAGGGCGCGCGGGCGGAATTGTTATTATCGTAAAAGGGACGTTAAATTAAAACTCGTACTACCAGGCGAGGCCCTCGCTCTGCATCTGGTGCGGCTCCAGGAACCCGCCGGCCGCGACCCCGCCGCCACCGCCGCCGCCGCCGCCGCCCGGACCGCCGCCGTTCCCGCCGCCGCCGCCGCTCGGATTACCCTGCCCTCCACCTGGAAACAAGAGCGAACGCGCACGGCGCGTCGATGCCAATTAAGATTTAAATCCCGCAGCGCGCAGAAACGCAACGCGACGCGACGCGGCCGGACCAGACCCGGGCCTTCCCGGCGCAGCCGGAAGTCCCGCGTGAAAGTCGGCGAGAGACAATCCGCCGCCGGCGGTTTATAAATATTAACGCGATCCCCGACAGCCGCGCCGCTATGCTCTATAATACGAGTACTTCGTCGTTGTTGTATCTTTTAAATAAATAAAAAAAAACCTGCTGTTCTCCGACTGTCACCGGCGCTTCCTTTTGTCTTATCGCCTGCATACCATATCCGTCAATGACAGCAAATGAAATATTGGCTTAGCTCTGAGCGATAAAAAGGGTTTTTTTTAAACGATTCGATCATAGAAAAAAATACGAATTGTTCCAAATTCGAAATTGAAGACTTTTTTAAAGTCTTTCGAAAAGCCTGAAAATCATCTATTCAAAACGATCCCAAACGATTTGATGAACTTCATCGAAAGTTCCGAGACTCGAAATATTATCGTTTCCATTATTCCTTGCGGGCATTTTATGTACACGTTAATTTTATGTATAACGTAACATTTGCTGCCATATATTTCAACATGTACGATAAAAGTATCGGTGTTGCGAAATTCTCAAAGTCGAGTTTTCAGGCTGCCAGAAACCCTATATAGTCGAGCCACGCACGTTACCGGCGCGCCGTTTTATAAGCACTATACGTTTTATTAATGCGACTATCGCTAACTGCACTTTCCTCGACGAATTAATAACGCGCTTATGTGTGCGCGGCTTGATTGATACGCCGGTGACAGCCGGATAAGACGCATATGCGTACGTATATCTGACGCGCGCGTTGGAAAACGTTGAATTTCGCGTATTAGACGTATCGCGCGAAAGGTCACGCCAGGTGATTGCCAGATCTCAATTATCCGTACGACAGGCTCAGAAGGAAATGACATTCACGCTGCCGTAACTTTGTTGCAGAAAATCTTGAGTCGCGCCGCGGCGCGAGAAATCGCGCGCGCGCGCGCGCGCGTGCTTTCGTGCACGAAATAGCATCGCGATGCCGCACGAATAAAAATGATACCCGCGTGCGAAAGGTTAACGGCAACGTATAATTTTCATTTCAACGTGGAAACGTTGAATGGCGTGAAACAGTTTCGATTCGATACCGCGAGGCTAAAGTGTTCCTAATTAACACGACACGGCATGTTCGATGTAACAGAGATGTGTATAATAAATCGTCACGAATAATCGTCACGAAACAGCCGAGGTGAACGTTATGTAATCCCTCTTTCCCGGCCACCGATTTGTGCGTACCTACTACCGAAAATCAAGAAAAATAAGTAAGATACAGAGACATCGACGTGAAAATATAATTAAATGAAAAAAAAAATTGATACGTTAAGATGTTGATGTCTGTAATTTCGACGAAAAAAAAACAAGTTATCGCTTCGACGCTTATAAAGAAACGACCCGTGCGGAATATTATATTTTGGCGCGAGAAGCAGATCGAGCTCCCCTTCAAGCGCGCCCGCGAGTTATAATGGTCGCCGCCGCATCGCGAAAATAACGCCAATAAATCGGCGCGAGCGCAAACATAAAGTCCGCTCGCGGGCAGACGCCCGAGGTATAGAGAGGTAAGATCGGGCGATCGCGATTCGGCCGATTTTCGGCGGTAATGGCCTACGGTGGGGATATTTCCCTCTTACCTGAAGGTGCCAGGAACTCTCCGGGGCTGCCGCCGGTGGGCGCAGGGGGCCCCTGCCCGGGGGGCCCCGTGAGAAATTCCGGAGGGCCGCCCCCCGCGCCCGGAGGTGGGTATTCCCCTGCCACCGCCACTGCGGCTGCCATGCCCGCTAAACTGGCCGGGTCCAGGCCTGTCAGAAACAGATTACGTACTGCTCTCAGAGGGGATCTCGTATCCGCTCGGCCATCTCCGAAACCGGCTGTCATAATTATCGCGGGGGCCTACCTACTTGATTCGAGGTTTATTATAATTACGCGAGATTCCGGGACTAGGCGCTCCTCGGGCCCCGGCTTTCGGTAGAGATCGGCCGTTTTTTTTTTTTACTCTAAAGTTTTTGTATTGCCGAGACAAAAAACCGTGCGATTATAATGAAACGGTGGAACTCTATGCAGAAATCCGATTGCGAGTTAGATAGAAGAATGTGAAAGGTTGATTAAAAAATATTTACGTAACGAGAGAGCCTTCGACATCCTCCGAGTTTCCGTGTCGATTCTACCGACTGTCTCAGACGTGAGAATTTATTCTAGCTTCAACTAGGGGAAAAAAAGATGAATCGGTAATCGTTCGGTGATGGCGTGAGATTCACCTGGATTCCCCGTACCGGCAAAATGTGGCCCGTGCGGATGCGGGGGCGGATGCGCGCCGAAGAACTCGTGGTGGAAGGCCACCGGGCCGCCGTAGCCGAACTCGAACTTGTCCGGGCCGAAGTACGGGAAACCCGGTGGCGGGCCGTCCTCGCCGCCGAGGGCGCCCGGGTTCAGGTTGAGCGGGAAGCCGCGCATCTTGCGCGAGCCCCCGAAGAAGGGGTTCCTGCCCATCGACGTCAGCTGCTTCAGCCTGCGCTCCTTGCTCCTCTTGTTCTGGAACCAGACCTGAAACGAGCAAGCGGGCAGACCGGCCGCCTCTTTAATCGCTGAATTATTTAACGATCATCCTCCCTCTCCTCCTCCGCCACACTGAGAAAAAAAATTTGTTGAAAAACGCAAAATTTGTTTCATCTTACCAAAATATTTAGTCCGATACGTTCAACTAAACGTTACTACAATGACACAAAATAAAAATTTGTTACTATTATAAACAAAATTCTATTTTTTCACTAAACTATTTTGTTTCAACAAAAATTTATTGTATTTAACTTAACCGTTCGATTCAAAATACACACTATTTATTATCCTCATCAGCATCGTTTAGTCAGTTTGATACTTGGAATTTGAACAAATATATTACTTGGATAACTAAATAGTATGCAAACACAAATAAATATCACTAGCATTTCGAACAAAATAATTTAATTGAGTTGGTTTAGTTAATTCTTGATTAAAAAATTTTGATGGTTGACATGAATGAACTGTACCCTTCCTTGCGCAATTAAAGAATTGTTGAATCAATCTTGGATCAAACAACTACACAAAATTCATACAATCAGTTTTTTTTCTCAGTGCACCTTTCGATTTTGTGCACGCTGCACGCGGTTGTCTTACAAAAAAATTATAAACTGTGCTCCAAGAATAGAATATTAATATTTTTTTTTGACAGATTTGTGAAAATCGTAAAAAATCGCCAGTGTTTCTCTTGAAACTATCGTTTCCCGCGTCTCTTATATTTCGTCACTGCTATATTAAACTGCAGAGGTTAGCGTAGCGCTCCGAAAGAATGTGGGTCTTAGAGCACATGCGATATATCTTAGTCCACTTTAATCTTCCTTTTGCATTCTAGGACATGAGAAAACCGTGGTAAACAATTTTTTTTCAATCGGTGATACATTGCGAATTAACCGACCGGCGCTGTCGCGAAATTATTTCTCGGTAAATAATATGACGTCGCCGTGCCGGGTGAATTATTTCGCGGCAAATGGCTTGTCGACGCGGTTTTTTTTCCTACTTGTTCGCGATGGCGAAGGATTTCTGAGCGTTCCATCGCATCGCTCTTAACGGCGATTTAGATGCCAGCCGCATAAAAGCGTCGCCGACAGCGCAAATCGCGATATTCACTTCGATATTAATAGCGATTCTCTTCGCAAGTTAGAGAATTGAATGCCTGAGTAGCAAGTCTCATAACAAAAACCGAGAGAAAGAATGAATTCTTACTGCAATATTAAACTGTAATTGTTATTTAATGATTATTATTCAAGTATCGACTCCAACATTTGATTATAGATTTTTCAAGGGAGAGAAAAAGAGAAAGAGAGATTTCTTCTCTAAATATAATAAAATCCTTTTAGTTGATAGATATTTTGAACAGAACTTTTTCAGACTTAATTATCGAGATGTAAAATGAAAATGATGATCAGTTCCGCGAAAAGACTTTTCACGCCGTAGGGAAAATAAATAGATATTACAAACAGAGAAACGAGACAAATTTCAGAGCGCAAGTGTGACGAGAGAAAGAGAAATTTTTCTCACCTGTATGACTCTCATGGGCAGGCCGGTCTCTTTCGCCAGCTGCTCCCTGATGTGCCTCGTGGGCTTCGGGGTCGACGAGAAGGCCGTCTTCAGGATCTCCAATTGCTTCGCCTTTATAGTGGTCCGCGGGCCGCGTCGTTTCGAGCCGGCGCCGCCGTCGCCGCTGCCACCGCCGGCGCCGCCGTCCGGGCTCTTGTTCTCCGTCTGGCTGTCCCTCGTCTCGGGATCGCCGTCCAGGGAGCCTTCAACAAGCCGATCGAAGCCGAGCGTCACCGCCGTGTTGCAATCGTATACGACGATCACCCGAAGGGGGACCTCTATCTCGCCGCGCCTCGCGAGACTCGCCGACGACCGTCGTCGCCAGCGAAATCGGCCGCTGCCGAGAAGTTCCGTGTGTCTCCTCCGCGATAGCGAGTTTCATATGCCTGCCCGCTTTAAATACAATGGCAGGGAACCTAATTCTCGAGGAGATAGAGACTCTTTCCACAGGATGACTCGGTTCGCTTTTCCCGAAATTCTCGGGTCGGGAGTCGCGCCGGCGGCCAGAATTAATAAGTATAACGCAAAGAGGAACAATTTGCTCTCTTCCAAATTATAGGTTTACTTGCGTGATATAAATAGAGCAGTGGAATTTAATTTATTTTGCGAAACGATAAAGTAAAAATAAATTGCCCGATAATCGCGCTAGACCTAAATTTCATCCTGATCGCAGTAATGACTCCTTAATTTCTGTACCTCATCGAACCGCCCAATTTTTAACACAGAGACGAGGCCTGTCATTCACGAATGTATTTACGATTTATAGAGACAGGCTAGTAAAGGTATCAGCGTCTCGGGGGAGAAAAAAAAGGCTGACACAATATTTTCAGCGTTACGCCGCACGTTTGTTATTACCCAGTCGTCGATGGCCGGGGGATAGTCAGTTTCTTAATCCCGAGCTATGCGTATCCGCTGACGCGTGACTCGTCGGTAATCCAGAAATGACTTGTCATCCTCAGACACGAGTCATCATTGCGTTACGGGAGTTTCTAAGCGACGCCCGTCGAGTTGCGATCGTCTCTGCGTACCGCAACGCCGATGTTAAACTTTTTTAAAAACCGCATTGTCGATCGGGAGGATCACGAGTCCATCACACGCACCTAGCGGGTGTCTCCGTGCGAAAACAACGGCTGTCTCAACAGCGAGACGACGATTATTTTTGAAATTAAAAGATCTTAAGGTGGTTCTTCAGTAAAGTGCTAAAAATTTGGGGTGCTTTAACAGGGCCTGACCAAAATCAAAAATATTTGTATAATTTGGATATAAATATTAAAACTACGTATATCTAATAAAATCTAATTAATAAAATATGTATATGTATACTAATGAAATATACAGTATGAAACAAACAATATTGCTACTCCGCGTGACAATGATAAGGATAAGAAAGTGAATTGCAATGTACGTATATTGCTAGCGAGGTTATGCGATATTTTGCCATTTCAACATTAACCTTTAAACCACCATGTCCAAAAAAATCACACTAACCACAATGTCGGTCTGTCAGACCACTATTATGCTCCCGCTAATTTTATAAGTTAATTATAATAAAAATGTATGTTTTCTGAATATTCGTTGATGGGGAAAAGAAAAAATATGTTTTAATGTGAGGGTTAACAAAAAAATCTCGTGTACAATAGAAATAAAATATATTTAAATGGTGACAAATAAGAAAAATGTTGATAAGTAAAGTTTCAATAGCGGTCTGTGAAACCGATATAGTGGTTTAAAGGTTAAATATGTCTGTAGAATGATCTATTATTTTTTTGTGACCATTAAAATTGTAATTTTTTGAACTCTTATAATCTTTTTTTTTTTAGAAAAGTCTTAAATCACGTTTGTGTGCAATTAATCAAAGAAGCGTCTCCAAACTCAATCTGTCATTAAGTTATACGTGAAAAGTAACATTTTCAACATTTTTTTTCTCTCTTATTCATCGCAAACTTATTCTTATTCATCAAGTTCGGCACTTTAACTTTATTATATAAGAAAATTAGACATTTCTTAAATAACTCGATTTACTAAAGAACCACCTTAACGAATTTCAACAACATGCGACTAAGATATTTCCAGTTTTTCTCATCTTTCTTGGATAATTTTTATCTTAACCACGACTTGTAATTCATTTTAATTCGTATCCGATTTAAATTGCTAAAAAAATGCAGCCGAAAATCGACGGAAACCAACGGACATTTCAAGGATTTCAGCGCGGAGGATGGCTTCTCGGCAAACGCGCGCGGCAGAGGGATAATCGACCGTAGATTCGTCCGAGGTAATCGCGGCTGAGAGGCCACGCGGTAGGTCTGGGACACCCCGTGTATATGTATATCCCGGTATCTTCATCGGTCGGATCGAGGTAACAACAATCGGAGCCAATCCCCCGGAAGCGATGCGAAACCCCCATCGGATTATCGTGGCTGCTGTCGCGCGCGCGTACCGCTGAAAGCCGTACCCCGCACATACGCGCGTGCACGTCGCACAGTGCCACCATACACGCACACACGTACACGCGTGTATATATAAGTCCCCGGCTCTCTCCACAGTAATCTATACACTATACTATATATATATATATATATACACATATATATGTATATATAGATATATATAATACCGGGTAGGTCTTAACCGCGGGACAAAGAAAATGTTTGGACAGTGTCACACCGCACGACCGGGGCCACCCCTCGTGAAGACGTCCGCTCCCTCCGTCCCTCCCGCCGATCAGAGGGGCAGCGAGGGGCGCTTGTGTACTGCGCGGTTCAGTACGAGGCCCGTGCGAGGGTGAGGCCGGAGGTGGTGTATGCGACTAAAAGGACCGATTGTTGTGCGCGCGATAAAAGAGCAGGAGCGATATATAATGGGAGCACGAGACGAGAAGCTTCTGGCGACGCCCTCGGCGTTCGACAGTCGCGACGCCGCGAATCCCCGCGTGTATGTGCTCGCGAGGTTCTCCAAACGGGGTGACGCGCAGTTCCGAGAGCAGAGTCCCGATCAAGTCCGCTAATCGATCGCTCTTGATCCAGCCTCGCTCGCGTCTAAACTGCAGCGTGATGGGGTAATTCAGCGACGTGTGAATGCGATCTTACAGCTCGCGGTGCCGCCGACATACGTGCGCACGCGTGCACACGTGATACATACGGAATGTCTAATCACTGTAATCGAGATGACAGCTCAGATATTTCACTTGCGTGCACTCTGCCCTTTTACGCTCGGCTGCGCGATATTGACTTTCGTTTACGATCCCTCGCTACTTTTCTTTCCGCGAGATTTATCTCTCGTCTTTCGCCGTTTGACGTAATAAAGACGTTCTCTCTTGTTCCACTCGCGCGAGGCGGTTTACACCGCGTAAAACTGTCTATACCGTAAAAACGTGTATCTCCCTTCTGTAATATTTATATCGCTTACACATATCGCTTACGAATGCGATTAAAGAGATTACAGAGAACTTTACCCAGGCTGTTCACAGAGAAATATTTATAGCGCTTATCGGATGAAATCAAAAGAATCTATTTTTTTTTTCAAAAACTAATAGAATTTTACTTTACTCTTATTCTGCAAGTAATAGAATTTTCTCCAACATGTTTCTGACTCACGGGAATATAATCGATTTAATACAAGACTGACTCTTTATTACATACGCACGTGCGCGGACTGTGTTCTACCGCACCACAGGATAATTCTCATGAATAATATTTTTTTCCCAAGAGAGAAAATCTTTGTGCGAGAGAGAATCTTTCTTGTCCACGCAACACATGTCATCGCTGCCGCTGTCATCCCGTTGCCTTCTATCTCCGGCGAAAGCGAGCTGGGATATATCCTTACCTTGATCCTCGGAGTCCTCCTGCTTGCAGGGATCGCTGCCGAGAGGTAGTTCGCCACCGTGGCCGACGGCCTGGTCGCCGGGCCCACTCGTGCTAATGTTGTGGGTCCCGAGGTGAGCGCCGCGCACGGTCGGGTCGTGATGGTGATGGTGGGCACTACCGTCCTCGTCCTCGTCTTCCGAGCCCGAGCCCATCAGCGAGTCTCCGCCTGCCGACAGGTTGGACGGTTCTGCTCGTGAACGACGCGAGACACCGGCCTTTTTAATAACATCGACCAACGGACCGCCGATTTCGAAAGCCGCGCGATCGCGACGCGCGCTCCCACGCGCGCAATCGTTGCATCGCGCGGCTCGCTCACTTGCACAGAAGCGAAATGTAGTTCCTCAATCGCCCTCAAGATATAATGCTTCGATAATAATATAGTCTTTCAAGTTGCATATTGTGTAATTATTATTATATATTATATATAAATAAATATTTATATATAGATACACAAAGAACGATTTTGTTAAAAGGTCTAAAAATTTTGCTGAATACAGATCTGAAAATAATTTTTGTTCAATAATCAAAATAACTTGTTGGAAAATAAAAAATGACAAGCATTGCTATAAAACGTTTTGATATTCTAGCAATAATTTTGACTTTCCAACAAAATTATTTTAATTATTGGACAAAAATTATTTTCTGATCTGAATTCAGCAAAATTGTTTTTTCCGTGCACGGAAAGAACGATTTTTCTATAGGTTTAAAAATTTTGATGGATACAGAAAATAATTCTTGTTGGACCATCAAAATAATTTTGTTAGAAAATAAAAAATGATAAGCATTGCTATAAATTGTTTTGATATTCTAGCAATCAGTTTTTGACTTTCCAACAAAATTATTTTCAAGTCCAGCAAGATCGTTCTTTCCGTAATTATATATAAATATTAATACAATTATATATAAATACAATTATATATAAATAATAATATCTAATTTATTTATATTAGAATAATATCTAATTTATTTATATTAATAAATTAGAAGGTAACTCTTGCAAGATGGCAAACAAAAATATATTTTATTTGCTAATCGAAAAGTTTTTTTTTATCGCTTCTGTGCAATTGCGAAATTATTCGAAATCAGCGAATCTTTAGCGAACATGCAGGAATAAATTACAGATATATATCGTGGTATGGATATTATTGATGCTCAAATGTAAGTAGCTCAATTTGAGTAATTTTTCATTAATGTTCTGTTGAACCTTTCGCTTGAAAGAAGCGAGGTTACGCTTGCCGACGGCAAGAAATCTGTAAGAGACATCTAGAGAAAAATCGATGTTGCGATCGATATCGACATGTACATGTAGCATAATTAAAAAAACGAGCTACTTGCATATTGACGCAATTGTTCTGCGATTTATCGAGAAACAATAATTGCGCTTCGTTAACAGAAGCATATGTGCAATAATAATGTGTGATGGCGCGATAAATTAATGCTGCGTTCGAAAACGTTAAAAAAATGCATTAAAACAATTACATATATTCCTTTTCCAGCGCCAATTTGATGCAGCTACCTCGACGGTGAAGTATACGTGACTGCACGAGCGGCAAGTAGCGCTTTTAAAAGAGTCGGCATTTGCCTTCCAGATTTAATGGCGGCGTTGCGCACGAAATACTCCCGGCGCAATATATTTTACGGCGGGAACCGCCGAAAAAATGGTGTCTCTGGATATTAATCGTCTCTACGAACATAATTACCGTGCTCTCTTTCTCTCTCTCTCTCTCTCTCTCTCTCTCTCTCTCTCTCCCCCTCTCGTCTCGCGCCGCCGTCGGGACGAAGAGGGAGGAACGACAGGCCGCGGATTCGACAACCGGCAAATGGCCGAGCGGATGGCAGAGATTAATGTTGAAAAAGTGTCGGGCATCAAGACGGTCATGTCGCTTAATCATCGGCCCGAAATCATCCTGAAGGCTCGCGTCAACATTCTGCCCCCAGTTGCGCGTCGAATTCGTTCTCCACGCGATGAAGATTTCGAGCAGCGCTCCGTACCTGCCTCTATTGTTCCCGCCAGTTATCGATAATCAGTAGTTGTGGACGGTGGTAAAAGAAAAAAAAAAAAAGAATAATCGGTGGTATGCTTAAAGGACGGTAAAACAGATACGAAAGATGTAATGATCTAATGCACGTCACAAGTCGATTAAATGTAGATCTATTTAAATGTACTCGCATAAATCACGTTATAGGGGAACGCATCCTTATTTTACATTTATTTTTTCAACAATATTAGCAATATTTTCAGCAATATCTTACATTTATTTTTGCAGTAATATTACACTGTTAAATCTATGGTGTCAAACTGAACCTTATTTAAGTCGCCACTGCTCTTAATAAATAGTTCTTTTTTTACTAAAACAATGGAGTTAAATAATTTAAAACAGTTCAAATTTCACCCAAATTTGAGTTAAATTTCATTGTCTTATTTAAAAAAAACTATGTTGTTTTAATTAAAAATAACTATTTATTAAGTAGAAGCAGTGGCGACTTAAATAAGGTTCAGTTTGACACTAAAGATTTAACAGTGTACTTCCATTTTATATTATATTGTTACTTAATTCTCCACCGCTTTGATCTTCACTTTGTTCCCATTTCTGGTCTATTGGCTAATCCTTTTCCGCGAAATCTGGCTGTAAAGCGACTGAACCGGCCCGAAAAGTCGTAGAAATCCTTCCGCGAAGGCAGCCTCCTCGACGTTGACATTTGACGCGCGGCTTACGGGATTCGTTCCTGCACATCCGCAGGTATAGCGGCCGCCGAGGTATCCCTCGCCGATGACGCCGACAACAACGTCGACAGCAACGATGACGACGACGCTTCGCGCGAAACTCATCGACAGCGAGCGAGTCGGCGGCGGCGGCGGCGGCGCGGCGGGCCGAATCAGCCGCGGCCGAGACGTAAATCATCTCGCGGCGCTCTCCCGCGCTCTCGGCGGCTGTCCCACGACATTGTCTCACGTACGGCGAACACACAGCGTCTCAGGGGCCCGTCGGAGAGAGCTCTACGAGAAAGAGAGAGAGAGAGAGAGTCCGGGAAGAAAAAGGCGGCTGGGCGGCGGCGGTAGAGAGAGAGAAGAAAACGGGTTGTGTCGGCTGCGTTTTGCGGTTTCGGCAACGTCGGCAACGGAACGACAAAAGGTTCGCCCCCTGCCTAACGACCTTTCGGTTTTCGTTTCACGGCTTATATACGAGTGGGGCCCTCGTGAAACCGAGCCGGCCCCGGCCGTCCCTCTCTCTCTCTCGCGCCGTCGTTTCCATTTCTCCCTATGTCTCCCTTTCTCGGCCGGTGGTTCACGGTGGCGGCATATACGCGCCACGCTGTTTTCACAGCTTGCCGCTTTCTCTCTCCCGTTCGGGGTAGAAACTCCCGTGAAAAACCTGCCCTCTCTCCGCCTTCCCCTGCTCGCCCCGCCGATCCGCCGGTCCTTCCCTCTTTTTTTTTTTTAAGCTGATCCTGACTCCGTGAAATCCGTGGCGGCGTGCGCGTTGAACTGTGACCCCCTCGACCTCGCCGCTCGAAAAAATAAATCCCGAAATTCTGAGCCACTCGAGAAATGGGTCCCGTCGGTCTTTGTAGGAATGCGAACGAATTTAAATCGACGCCCCTCGTATTTGTATGACATTAACACCGCGTGTTACAATTCAAATGTTGAATACTTTTGATCATTTCCCTCTTGAGATTCTTCGTATTTCGCCTTTAAGAGAATCGTCCGAATAATTTTTGCACATGCGCGCGCGCGGAAATTTCTTTTGTTTCAATCGGCACCGAGGAGGCGTCTCGTATCGGCGGCTTTCCGGTTCTCCGATAACTCTCGGCAGAAACGTCGAGAGTTCGGAACGGCGGGCTGCTTCTCCGACTCTCGGGATCGGCGAAACGGGCGGCGACGGCGGCGGCGGCGGGCCGCGCGATAATTTACGACGGCCTCTCTTTCTCGCGAGCGGCGGATAAAATTATTTATCGGCGGCGGGAACGGAAACGACGGAGGCGATCGTAAAACGCGCTCGCGCGCGCGCGCGAGATCGGCCGGGGGATTCAGGGGGCGAGAGAGAAGGAAGAGACAGGGGAAGTCGAGCGCGCGAGGAGGAGCTGTCGCGATAATACGCCCTACCCCTCTCTTTCTCTCTCTCTCTCTCTACGGACAGCGGCGCCGCTGTTCCGGTGACAGCGGCGCGGAGATCGATATAATGGAAGGCGATTGTGCGTTGACTTTGTTTGCGCACCGAGCCGAGCGTGTGCCAAACGCGATTTCGCGCGAATTTTCGAGCCGCGATCGATCGCCGCGTGCCGCTGACAGCCACGTGCCACGTCGAAATCGCGGCGTGGCAGCCAGCCCGACGTATTTAGGCCGTGCCCGCGCGCTGAAGACCGAAACTTTAATATGCTTTTAATACGTCGAGATTTCTCGAAAATAATCGCTTTTTTTTCACTCGGTTATATTTTATTAATAAAGAGAAATTTCTCGTTGACTCGATTGTCAGACGAATAACTTTGACATCTCTTGGAGTAATCATAATGTGTCGATTAATTGTCTCTTTACGATCTCATATAATATCTATTTTTTGATAGCTTTTACACAGAAAGAACGATTTCGCTGGAAGGTCTGAAAATTTTGCTGGATACAAAATAATTTCTCTGAAAATAATTTCGTTAGGTCATGCCATCAAAATAATTTTGTTGAAAATTTAAATTGGCTGCTAAAATCAAAATGTTTTATACAGCAATGTTCATCATTTTTGTGTTTTTTCAATAAAATTATTTTGATAGTCCAACATAAAATTGTTTTCAGATCTATATTCAGCAAAACTTTTAAATCTTCCAGCAAAATAATTCTTTCCTGTAGGTTTGTTTAAAACATATCGATATATCATATCAATAAATATCCATACCCAATAATTTTTATAATATATGATTCATATATGCGATTATATTATAATAATACGCGCGTGTATCATGTTCATCCAACTTAATAATTTAATCAATAAAACAAATAATCAATTGTTTGCAAACTTTACACATGCACAAGTAACGGCTGAATATTCCTAAAATAACGCAATCATATTATCGATCACCAGCAATTAGAAGCAGCGTAAGATTAGCTCCGATATCGATTCGCAGCAGATAAGTGCGGACAAACACGAAGACCACGTGGAGATCTTGAGGTATATCGCTTAAATTTAAATCCCGCGACGAATCGATCTGCAAACGGAGCGGGCAGTGTACACAGACGAACTGTGTCCTCCAAGTGCCCGCCGCCGCTCTTCGTGGACTAACTTTACTCTCTCTCTCTCTCTCTCTCGATTCTGTTTGCCGTTTCGATCGCGGTAATTATTTATATTAACTCCGCTATCGATAATGGAGGAACCTAATTATTTGATCGTCGCTGATCGCGACTCTTAATCTCTCGCACGAAAATGACGCGTGAATTTATTATGCAAAAATCATCCTCGTTTCAACCGCCCTTCCGATGTAAGCACGTAACAATAAGTGAGATAATATGATCGCGTCGAGATAATATTGTTACGCGAGAGAGATGGCTGAAGATACAATAACGAAAGGGGGGAACAGGGGGAGGAGGGGTAGTTTTGGGCGGCTCACCGTGATGACCGTGCACGTGATGCGTGTCCGGCAGCGGTTTGCCCGACAGGTAGTCCTGCTTGCAGACGAACTTGTTGTCGTCCAGGACGTAGAGCTCCTCGCCGGTGCTCATCTGCTTCCGACACACCAGGCAGGTGAAGCAATTCAGGTGGAAAACTTTGTCCCTCGCTTTCCTCACGAGGTCCTGCGGGTTTATCCCTTGGAGGCAGCCGCCGCACTTGGTGCCGTATCGCCTGGAAGGACATAATACAGATTTATCGCTGGTGAACCCCGATGAAAAGGGACGGATAATGAGCGCGTGGGCGCTCCGAAGAGCTCGTTCCCGCACCGTAAGGAGATACAAGAAGAAAAAAAAGTTCATCTCGATTCTCTTGAAATCTAAATATCAAAATCTAAATTGATATTAACGGTCCTGCGTTGAATTTCACACCGCGGGAAACTGACAACGCGTGTGTTAATAAAAATAAAAGCGCACGCCGGATTAATCGTGAAACTGAAACGTTCGCCTGTCCGGTGTCAGCTGCGAGTTCGCGCCACGGCGGAATTTCCGCGGGGGAGGGAAATTTCATAAACGCGTTTCTAAACTGTACACAGCCAGACTAGCCATGGTAATCCTATTTAATTTTCCGATTTTTCTTCAAAACTCGTCGAGCGGTTTCAAGCGGGGACGCCTGCACGCGAGATTGTGCTAAGAGGAAGGTTGGCATTAAATACGTAAAAGGTAACCGCGGGGGGAAGTTAATCGCGAGTGCACCTCCGATTCCGCGATTTTTCGCGCGCGCTCCCTTTCTTTTTCGCGACGTTGTAATTTCGTCGTGGCACGTTAACGCGAACCCCTAATCATTAAACCGCAAGTATCGCCGCGCAACGTGTTATTATCACACGTACGACGCGGCTCTCGATGATTTTTCCCGCGGAGGATGAGGAGGGGGCGGAAAGTGCTACGGATCATATTTCTCAGCTCGATAACAGACCTCTCGTACGGAAAATAGCGGAGAGGCGCGCGATCCTTTTTTTTTTAATCTGCAATTTACTCTCCGCAAAACTCTCGCGAAGTGTTGTACACTCTGAAATTATTTTGACATCGTTCACGGGTGGGAGGGAGCGGGAGGAAAGGGTTGGCGCACGCCGCGCGCGTTCTCGATAAACGCGCTTTCGATCGTCCCGAAAGTTGACCGTTCATAGAATGTGAAAGTTACAAGTTCTGTTTGTAACCCAGCCGGACCGCAAAACGTCGATGAAAGAAATACAGTGCTTTTAAAGAGATGGCGGTTTAATGTTCCGATCCGACATAAAAAGCCGAGGCCCTACCGTGTCGTAAAAACGCACGCCGCCCCGGTCCGCCCGACATTTTTTTTTCTTCCACCGCCGAATCGTTAAGCGCCTTGCTTTTTTTCAGACGCCTTTACCGATCTCTCGTTAAACGTTCTTCCACTTCGTCGTTGCGTCATTGAAAATCTCTTAAATCATACAAGAAGTGTCGTCATAATTGTATAAAAGTCCCTCTCGCGCGAATTGTAAAATTATGTTATAAATTACGAAAACATTATATAAATTTATAGAGGATTTATTCATAAAATCGAATTATTAATTTAATTCGATTTTATTAATAAAATCAATTAATTGTAGAAAAAATCGTAGAAATAAATTTGAGAATTACAAGAATATTAAATTGAAGAAAAAAATTATGTAATATTAAATAGTGTTATGTATATGTGCGTTTGTGTGTGCACAAAATAAAATTCTAAATTAAATTTATTAATAAAATTACATTATTATACAATTTAAAAAATATATATATAATTATTAAAAATATATTGTATATAAAACATAAAAATTATAAGGTCACAAGAAGGAAAAGAAAGAATAGGCAAAATTTGCACATTTTCCGGTTGGCGCGTTTCTCAATCGAGCCGGAACAATCGTCAAGTCAATATATAGGTAACCTTTGTGTCTGTATCATTACAGTGGCAGAAGCTATACACTCTTCTAACTGGCAATCCGGATCGATCTAACTATAGCAATCACGCAATTAATTATAGCAATTAGCCGGGGCCCTTAGGGCTGGCGTGTTCCGAGGAGCGGACGTCTCAATCGATCCCCTCCCTCCCCATCACCCCGTCGTCGTTACGCCAACAATAAACAAGTTAAACGCGGATGGCAGATCAGGCCGGAGAGATCACGAAATCGGTCGCTTATTAGCAATTCGGTAGGGCGATACTTATCGACCTGCAGCTTTCGATACTTTGTAACCTACGCCATTAACAGCATCAATCAAAGGAGTCGAGATTGAAAAGCATAAGAATTTATTCGCGAATATAAAAATCCTCTTCCAAATCTTCTCTCCACTCGTATTTCTCATCTTTATTACTACCGCAATTTATTTGTGATATCGTGTTATATTTCTGTTTAACTATAAAAAAAAATATTTTTTTAAAATTATCTCTCGCGATCCTCTGATTTTAAACTCGTAGTCTCTTGTTAATTTAATTTAATGTCCACTCCACAAATGGCCACTGAAATTTCAACGCTATCAATTTCTCGCAATCGCTAGTTTACAAACGTTAAAGTGCATCTGAGGGGGGGCGGGGGAAAAAAGGAAACAAGGGAACAAACATGAAAAAAAAAACCCGTGTGCCGATATTAATCGCAATTTTTTGTTGTTTCAACTCGGATTTCTCATTCAGCGGTGTTATTATCGCGCAATCGACTGTAAAAAGTGCGCGCTACTCGTAAAGCGCACACAGAAATAGGAGACGCAACGTGCCGCGCCGCGCCGCGCGCCGGGGAAGCCGTGACCCGGACGCCGCTTGAGAGTCATTGTTAGCCTAATTGTTCCCGGTGTACGCCGACGGTCGCGGCTGGCGTTCGCGCCTAGGCGCGGTGTGCGGCGGCATCGACGTTCGAGCGCTCGAGCCGCACAATAAATCCCGCGGAATCTCCCTTTATTGACTGCTGCCGGGTGCCGTATCAAGCGACCCAATTCGCCGCGCTTTATTACCAAGTGGATGCGTGACGTTCGACGGGGATGCAAGTGCAGAGGCAGGACGGAGGGGGGGGGAGAGGCGTCTCGCGACGCGTCGCCGTCGAGAGAGAAAGAGAGAGAAAAAAAGTAGAGAAAACGTACGCGCGCGACGTTACATTTACCGCTCCGTATTTACCCGGCGACGGCCGCGACGCGCCCGTTAATCGATATTAACAAATTCATGAATCGCATGAATTGTGAATGCTCCGTAAACCATCCCCCGTTAATCCGCCAAGCGGTTCACGCGCCTCTAATCCTTGAGTGTTATTGTTCGCGATATTTTCGAAACTTTCGTCCGGAGAGATTTAAATCGCGAGATTTTAATTAATAGGAGGACTTTCATGTCACGTGGGCGGAGGAAAAAGAGATAGCGTGACAGAGGCCGCGGAGGGACGAGCGCGAAAAGAGATACAAAATTTTTGTGACTCGCGCGCGCGCGCACACACATACACGCCACACACACACACACACACACACACACACACATACGGCAAATTGTAACTCGCAAAAATCGTGTATGACATATTGAAAGTGCGGATCGGATGACTAATTTGCCTTTAATGGAAGTTAAATATTTCAGCTAATAGAGAGGCGGGAATGCGCCGCTTGTACGATGCAAACAATAAATTAAACTACGGCCGCTAAACGAATTAATTATTAGAACGTTTCGCGAACGGCAAATTGTGATGGCTAAATAAACGCGTTTCACCGCGCGTGTCCCCCTGCCCCCCCCCCGCCCCTGTTCTTTTATTTTTATCTTTTTTTTCGCACGTTATGTTTTCACACGCGTGCGATCCTAATGAGTTTTTCCCGGGGATTCGGGATTTCGATATTAATTATCATCGTGCGCATCGCGCCGCCGCGTCTCGCGCGAACCTCGTAATTCGACACCATTCGCCGTTTTACAGACAGACAGATCTCAAGTACGCGTGAAAGCCATTGACGGATCGGCAATTATTCATCGCGCCCGTCGCACCCAAGAAACTTGACGCAACGCGGCGCAGCTTCTTTCTCTAATCCGCCTCGCATACCGCGAGCGTATACCTCCGTGAGGTTTCCCACCGCAGCAGTCCGTTTAACCGCCTCTGAAATATTTTACGTCCCGCGGTTGACGTGCGTCTCGCGAAAAGGAAGAATGAGAATGGAAAAGGAAGAGAGAGAGAGAGAGAGAGAGAGAGAGAGAGAGAGAAAGTCGCGCGTACGGAAAATGCGCCGTGTATCTCAAAGAGGCACGGCTCTCTCTTTCTCTCGTTTAGGTGGAGCCCGGTTGCTCGCGCACGGCCGGTGAATATCAAAGGTTGCTGCACGTGTCCGCAGCAACATTGTGCTCGCCGCGATATTGCGCCGCGACTTGCCTATACGTCTCGGGGCTTCGTCGTCCATCGTGCGCTCCTCGTGAGCGCTCCAACTCTCTCCTCTCCTGGGCAAGATGGATATCTCTCTGTAAAAGCTGCACGCATTCGAATATGTACGCTAGATCGAGATTACCTCTCATAAGGACGCGGGTATATACAAATGGGATAGGTAAATGTGGGACGAGGAAAGCGTCGCCTTGATTATAGCGCCTCGAGCTCCTTTAATTTGTGATCTATAGAATATATCAATCATATATATATATATATATATATATATATATATGTATATATAAAGAAAATTATAAAGGGAAAAGTGCTCCCTCCTTACTCTTTCTCTCTCAAAAAACGAGAAACGGGTTATCATCTTAAAATTGCTGCGTCAAGCTGTGTGTACAACAGCAAATGCAAAACAATAAGCGGCTACAAGTAGTGTTGTCGTTATCGGTGCGCGCACCGATGCGACTTTTTACGGCGCGAGTGCCTTACGGCCCACATCCTTCTGCAGGAAACAGCCGTGCGCAAAAAGTCGCTGCCTGTTGACCGTTGTTGCATAATACTTTTTCGCGTCCGGACGTTTCGCGACCCGCATTCACGTTCGGACCAGTCATCGCGATATCGAGTGTGAACGACGCGAGCGTCATTCATCAGTGAGAGCGCTACCATTCAATTAGAAATGCTTGATACACTTCGAATACTCCTGGCATCGATATTCTGACCGTGACAATTGGGAAATGTAAATACGATATATCCACTGAAGATTCGTCGAACGTCCAGTGTTGGTGCACGGCATTTGTGTCACTGAATTTAAACGACCAAAACTCGATTTTGTTAGTTTCTCTTGTCGTCTAAGTCCCTACACAGAAAGAACGATCTTGGGAGATTTAAAAATTTCGATCTGAAAATAATTTCGTTGGACCATCAAAATGATTTTTTTGGAAACTCGAAAATGATAAGCATTGCTGTAAAACGTTTTTGATATTCTAGCGATCAGTTTGAATTTTCAACAAAATTATTTTGATGATTCAACAAGAATTATTTCTAGACTTTCCAGCAAAATCATTCTTTCCATGCTCTTAAGATGGTTCTTTAGTAAATCGAATTATAGACAGAAATGTTTAAATTTTTTATACATATAATGAAGTTGAAGTACCGAATTTGACGAATTTGTGCAAAATTCTAGGATAGGTTATCGATGAAATAAGAGAGAAAAAAAATGTAGAAAATCCAAAAATAGTGACAGATTGAAATCGGAGATGCTTCTTTGACTAATTGCACATAAACATGATTTAAGACTTTTCTAAGAAACGAGGATAATAGTTTAAAAAATTACGATTTTAATGGTAACAAAAAAGTAGGTCATCGGCCATTTTGAAAAGATATTTAATATCAAAATGGCAAAATATCGCATAACCTCGCTAGCGATGTATGTTAAGGATATGCGAGCTTGTTAGTCCGCAATAATGCGACAATTTTTGAAAACCAAAGCCTTTAATCTTTACGCATGCAATTCCGAAGAACGTTATTTTTACTCTCTGCTCGAACTGCGAGCTTAATAATAATACGTGACTCTAACAGAGGACGCTCGACTATAAGCGTACACGGAAAGAACGATTTTGTTGAAAGGTCTAAAAATTTTGCTAAAAACAGATCTGAAAATAATTTTTTATTAAATCATTAAAATAATTTGTTGGAATGTTAAAACTGATAAGCATTGTTATGAAACGTTTTGATATTCTAGCAATCATTTTGACTTTTGCACAAAATTATTTTGATTATTGAACAAAAATTATTTTCAGATCTGGATTCAGCAAAAGTGTTCTTTCCGTGTACGTAAAGTCACTAAATTTATAAAGTACCGCAATCATCCGCCATTTTGGCTCCAAACGCGATCATTCAAAACATATAGGTACATATTACGTGTATGAATCTATTTTGTATAAATAAGAAGGAAAATTATTTTGTAAATAAGAAGGTAAATTATATTAATCAATATTTTTATTTAGAATGATTGGTCTTGTTTATATACACGGAAAGAACAATTTTGCTGAATCCAAATCTGAAAATAATTTTTGTTCAATAATCAAAATAATTTTGTGCGAAAGTCAAAATGATTGCTAGAATATCAAAACGTTTTACAGCAATGCTTATCAGTTTTAATATTCCAACAAATTATTTTGATGATTCAACAAAAAATTATTTTTAGATCTGTATTTAGCAAAACTTTTAGACCTTTCAACAAAATCTTTCCGTGTATGATTTAACTACGCTAAATCATATTTAAATTCCATTTTGGCCCAAATTTGAGTCTTATGGATTGTGGTACTTTATAAATTAGGGACTTTAAGCGTACGTATAAACAAAATCAATCTAATAAAAATTAAATGATATGAATATTAGAATAAATGAAATTAACAAAGTGATTAAAGTTAATTAATATTGAAAGTGGATGGCAAAATCAAAAAATAGTTTCCTAAAGCCTTACCAATGTACATTGTACTTCACTTATACTTATCATTGTCACGCGGAATAGTAATATCATTTCTTTCATACTATTTATCATTAGATATACAGTAGTTTTAATGTTTTAGTCAAATTATACAAATATTTTGAGTGGGTTCTGATGAGGCACCTCAAATTTTCGACACTTTACTATAAAGAACCACCTTAAGCAACATTTCTCCTTAAAAAAAAAATGATCTCAAACTAGAAAAGTTATGCGTTTAAAAACAAGGAATTCTCATTATCCGGATCTCGGATTCCCTCAGAAACCGACCTCGCTTGTCGATGGATCGACCGCGATCCCCGTTCGGGCGAATCCCGTTCGGATCGATAAGAGGCTCACGAGCAGTTTTCCACCGCGGCCCAGAAGACCAGGGAGTGCCCCCTTATCGATCAACTCGGATGTCGGATCGCGTGATTGCGAGACGCCGCGCGCGCGGCGTGAGCGTCCCTGTAATCAGCCGGTCTCGGCGCGCTTTTTCTCGCCGAACTATCCATCAAGCTGTCCGAATTAACGCTCACAGCCCCGGACAACGAAACTATCGTCGCGGAAGCTGGGCGCTCGCGCGCGCGCGCGCCCCGTGAGGCGATCTCGCGAGGTGCCTTCGACGACGGGAGGATAACGACAACGCGGGGGACGAGGACACAATGACGGCCGTCATTATACGTTCGCAGCTAGCGGCCTAATTACAGGGATTATTTAATTGATCATAGTAATTAGTCGCGACCGTGCCGACTTCTGCAGGTGCAGCAGCCCGCGCCTGCTGGCGCTGCGCCCCGAGGGGGCATCTCTATACTGAATCTTTTGTCCTCCCCCTCCATTCTTTTCTCTCCCGGAGGAGAAGACAGGTCCGTCTTCGTCGGGAAGAGCTGGAAAGGAGAGAAAAAGGAGAGGCTCCAGCAGAAGAAGACGGACCGTAAAAGTCATTAATAGAAAGGCTTGCGTGGTCCCACGCGTGTGTGCCGCGAGGAGAGAGCCGAAACTCGGGGGATCAAGGGCGAGGGGGGAGCGGGAAAGGGTGGCAGCGCGCGGGGACCAAGCGAGGGGGGGGGGGGGAAGTCG